TTATCCTACTGCATTTTGTAAAGAAAAAAAACTTCATTTTGATTTCAATTTTTTCACCATTACGTTTTTCATTCATGCAAATACATGTATTTTATTTGTTAACATTTGTTAAACGTTATTCAGTTTCACCATGTTTCATTTGTTTAAAAATTGGTTAAAATTCTAGTGTTCAGTTATCTGAATAAATACAGATTTTCTTTCATGTTTACAACCAATTTATGAATGAAATGTTCATTTAAAATTTTTTTTTCAAAGATTTCAAGTAGTGAACATATCTTACTTTGCAAAGCAATAGTGAGTGGGCAAAGCCGGCTAATATATATATATATATATATATATATATAAGAAAAAAGAAAAGAAAAAGCATTTACATTGTATTTCTCATGTACTTTTATTTCCATTACCTCCTCAAATTTTTCAAACATTAGCCTGTCAATGCATCATTCAACATGTAACCCTGACCCAAAAAAGTCTTTTTTTTTTTTTTTTTTTAAACACTATATTTTAAAGCAATATGTTTTAATCCAGATTAAACTTGAAATCAGCTAAATAATGTTTCAGAAAGTATATTTTATTTTTGGAAGATTTTTTAATAAAGAGAATTGTGTTGATAGATTTTGATTTTATCAATTTTACAGATAAACAGAAAAAAAATATTCAATTTAAATTCAGTTTCAAATACAGCAAAGTATTTTACTTATTGAAAATATTAAATTTAATCTATCAGCTTGGAATTAAAACTAAAATGAAATCTTTAAAAAAGACTTCATTTTTTAAAATGCATTTTTGTTTCTTGTTTTCTGTCTTGTAGACAATACTGTAATAACCAAAATGCCATTTATAATCTTAAAGTGAGTTGTAATGGAAGCAATTATGAAAACTAGTAAGATATAACATTCAGATTAAGTCCTATGCCTGTACATTATATCTTTCTTTAATGGGGGGGAGGGGGGAAGAAAATTGTAGAAGGAAGCAGAGTGATTGTTTCTGAGAAGAATCTCTGAATATCCCCCCCCCACACCATTATCAAAAAAAAGATTGCCAGTCTATTAGCGGAAACTATCAATACCAAAAACTATGCAGACAACTAAATCAAACAGAGCCTTGAGTTTAGTGAGGAAAACAATCTATTTCTGTTAGGGGTGGGGTGGAAGTGAATGATATACACTTTGTCAATTGACTAACTTGGGAATTGGAAAAACAGTACTTGTTTGTTTAGATATTTATTTGGTAAAAAGAAAACAGTGTCTGGATAAACAATGCAAAGAACAAAGTCTAAATTAAAGGGGGGGGGGTTACAGTTTTTGCTACATCTGTGTTGGGCCATGTAATTGTATTTTTTTTCTTTATTAAAAAAAGAAAGAAAAAAAAAAAAACAAATGAAACTAACAAAAAATATATTTTATTGCCACTTATAAACTTTTCCTACAAGTGAGGATGAGTCATGGTTACTTTACAGTCAATATTATTAAAATTACAAATTGTCCAACTTTCTTGTATTCACATATTTGACAACCAAAATTAAAAATGTCACTTACATTCAATTTGATTGAGCATTTCTAAGAATCCTTTACACACAAATTGAATAGAGTTTGAGAGAAAAGTGAATTGTGTTTTGTTCAGAAATCGGAATTCTATTATTTTGTTGTATTTGCAGTACTGATTCCAAACTTAATATGATTTTTAATACATTCACAAAACAACAAAACTCTCAAGACACCTATAGAACTGTGCATGTATGCAAACTCTACTGTAAATATTTATTGGTTTATAACTGAATTAATCTTTAATATTGAGATTACTGAACCAACAATAATACTATAAGGTACCGCCACTAATTCACTAAAAAAAAAGAAAAAGAAAAAAAGAAGAGCATCCCATGATGAAAAAGGTCCTAAATAAAATTCAAATTTTATCATTAAAATGTTTGTCATGAAGAGCAAAGACAAAAGTATTTTTTAATTATTTAAAAAAATTTTTTTCACTCCTTTCTAACACATTCGAAATTTTGGTTAAAAATCTTTTTTTATGTATCAACAGTAACAGAACCAGCTATAGAAATGTTAACACCTCTTTTTCTGTTAAAATAACACATTTGGAAAGTCTTGCTACAATAAAATTGTCGGCTTTTAATGAAACTTTCAGGACTTATTCACAAATGAATGAATTTATTTTTTAAATTATTATTTTAAAAAATCTTGGTAAAAATATACCTAAAAAAAAAAAAAAAAAAAAAAAAAACAGCATCTGTTACTCCCCACTTAATTTCATGAAATTTCTAGAAATTGAATTTTGTCCTCTAAATTTGTTTTATTAGTTAAATGCAGAACTCCTGGGACAATGTAAATCATCCATTTTTTTTTTTTTCTTCTTTTTTTTCCAAACAGTTACCCATCTCCTGAAAACCTGCTCCAAATCATAAAACAAAAACTGCAATAAAACTATTTAATTGCATAAGCTTTTAATTGCTTTTATAAATAATATATATTAAGGACATTGCAGTATGAAGGAAAATTTTTTTTCAATGAATAATTAATTTTTACAAGAATTGTTTTCATTCTTTTCTTTTTTTTAAAATTATAATTTATAAAGCTTCAAAATTTAAAAAAAAATAATTCTTCTAAACTCTGTCCTTGTTAGGCTATTAAGTTAAGACTACATTTACTAAGCAAAAATTAAAAAGCTTAATACAAATCATCACACACTAAGATTTTAAAATAATTTAAAATTTTTTTTCAGGAGTATAAACGTGGTAATTTTGAAATTATGGGTGACCATACTCGACATTATCAGAAAATAAGATTGAGCATGACAGTAAATTTAAAGTCAACATTCCTAAAATTCCTTACAGACAATATTTCCAACATTTTTAAGATTACCGAGTACTTAAAAATTATATAAGAAAGTGTTCGTCCATCATTTTTTAAATTATATTTCAACAGATAAAGTCTCCGTAGAACAGCAAATAAACCTGTCAAAACATTATCAGTACTTGTCAAGTGATTGATGGGCAATAAAAGTATGTAAATCACTGCTTGTTTCAAAAATCCATTTCTCTATTTCCAACTTAAAGTAAATATTTTTTTTTCAAATCAGATTAATTATACTTTAAATCAGCTAATATTCCTCAAATAAAGCTTCAGAAAAGTATATTTTATTTTGGGAAGATTTTTTCATACAGATGATTACATTGCAATGAAAGACATAAGGGGTGGGGGTGCTAATTGTTTAGCTTTCAATTAGAGGTAAAATGTAAGCATTAAGAAAACTTTTTCTTTTTGAAAATTCATTTCAAACCTTAGGTATATTGAATTAGTAGAGGTACCTTATATGCATGTGAGAGAGAGAGAGAGAGAGAAAGATGAAGAATATCAGAACTATATTTACCCAATAATAGTGAGAGTTTGAAAAAAAAAAAGAAAAAAAAAAAAAAAAGAAAGATCATCACTTGAGAAAGGAACATTTCAAATGTGAGAGTGCAAAATAAAGTGATGTTCAGGTTGACAGCAAAAACCAACAATAATGAAAAGGTAAGTTTATGAAAAAATAAATAAAAACAAAAATCAATTTCTATATCAAGAAAATATGATCTACATTTTTTCAGGGTGACCTTTATGGAAAAAGATCAATAAAAGGACAAGATGAAACCTACAAAAATGTAAATAACATTTTCTTGAGGGGGTTTACTGATCATGGAACCCAACCCTATTAAAAAAAACAAAAAATAAATATAATAAAACACCATTTTCATAAGAATACAAAAAAAAGAACTGATGAAAGATGCTGAATAACTGAATGATACTCAACAGCCTTCATATTTTCAATCTATATCAGTTTTGAGGAGAAAAAGTGTGTGTGTGTGTGTGCTGGGGAGAGTACTTGCTTCCAGTACAAAAAAAATCCCACTGAAACAGAGTAAACACCAAAATTTCCAAGACAACCCTGGAATGGACTACATTTCACACTTTTAATCTAAAGCAGATATTCTTTAAATAATCTTTTTCTTTCATATTATTTATATGCTGTTTTCACTGAAATCATAATATTGATTGGAAAATAAATCCATATCATTATAAATAGATAGGCAATTGGTAGAGTCAACCTAATACCATTTCAGGCAATGGTGAGTGGAATTTTTTGTTAAACATATTTTCATATTGACCTTCGTCATTCAGGTGCCCAATCGGCCCTTTTGACACTTTTTTTTTCCTTCTCTCAGAAGAGAAGTACCGCCCAGTGAATGTTGAATAAAATCATCAAGCATTAAGTTGGATTATATTAATTCAACAAAAAAAAAAAAAAAAAAAAAAAAAAAAAAAAAACAAATCTTAATCAAGGATATAGAAATTAGAAACTTTTATACACAACCCAAAATCGTTTTAAACAAAGAACAAAAACACTTACACTCCAAAGTTTACAGAATTAATGTAAACAAACTTAGCAAAATAAATGCAAAACAAAAGTGATCAGACCAACAAAATCCAATTTCCATATAGTTTTCTAATCTAACAAACTATGTTATTATATAATACTCTTGAAGGAGATTATTCCATTTCAAATTGAAAGCAATAAAAATCACTTATATAACCAAATTTTTTTTCTTCTTTTTGTTTTGTGAAATATAGACCTATTTATTTGTGTTGACAAACTTATTTGCAAGTATTGCATCAGTTCATGCAACTGTTATAATTTTTACATAAAGAAAACTTCTAAGCTTTTTTTTACTGATACATTTTGTTTAGAATTCAGAAATAATTGAATGTAGAAATCTCAGCATTTAACAATATGTGAATCAAGTGAGTATGTGTGTCACACTGGGATATAATTTACAGTAGCCACACCTATTTTAAGCTCAATCCCCATTGTGATTGAAACAAAAAGACAGGAATGTTTTCTAATAAAAATGGTTTAATTTGGAAAGCTATTAAATTACACTGTGTATGACAAGGTTAAAAAAAAAAAATATCCTGCCAATGAACAAAATTTTTTTTTTTCCTTACCTGCAGAGCCAGGTAATTTGATCCCAAGACGCTGCCACTCAAAAGCCTCGGCTGCTAATTTGCGCACGTAGGTTTCATCAACACACATCAATATATTTTCTGGCTTGATGTCAGTGTGGATTATTTTGCACTTTCTGTGGAGATAGTCAAGTCCTTGCAGAACCTACAGGTTTAGAGACAAAAGGAAAGTATAGAAAACAGTAATTTTAAATTCAGAACAAAAAAAAAAAAAATGACAAAGCAATTTTTTTTTTAGTGTTTAATGTTCAGATATGAATTAAAAGAATTAGTTTAATTAATAAGCCTGATCTTAGAAAAAGAAAAGAAAAGAATCTTTCAATGTGACTAGAGGTGAGTAGATAATGATGAAAGAACTGAGCAAAATGACAACTGCTAATATTTTGATAGTAATGAACATGTGCAGAATATAAATAAGTTACATTTTTCAACAGACACAGAACAAAAATTTGAACTATAATCTGCATCATATTTACTATATGAACGATATAAGGTGTGGGTCAGAGAATTTGTGGGAATTCTTCATTTATAAATGAGGAGGACATGAAAAAGGAAAAAATAATAGCTGAATTAATTTGAAGGAAAAAAAAAAAACAAAACACTTTCTCCTGTGAACCTGCTCTATCTCTCAGCTGTCAATCTTAGGGAGTAAATACCTTTAATCAATACCAACAATGATATTTAATGCTGATTAACTAAATGCATAAAGACAACGATAGATATCTCACTCATCAGTTTTTATCCTATCTCCTTCCAAATCCTTATTTGCATAATGCAAATGAAATGTACAAAGAGGTTTCAGGTAGCAGCAGAGAGAATAGTTAAGAAGCTATTGTATGCAAATGAGAAAGAGAATCTTTAGAAAGATTGTTTCATAATAATTCAAGCACATATGCAAATCTCTAAATAAAACAAAACCAGTTTTTCAACATTACATGGCATCAATACATTTTGAAAGAAAAACTAATAAAGATGTAAAAAAAAAAAAAAAAAAACATCTGTCATGTTAGTAAACATTCATTTGAATCCTATACATAACATTACTTTTAATCTCCAAATGATGAAATTAATAAAGATTATCTTGCAGGACAAAAGCATAAAAAAAATTAAGCAATGGGAAAATTTAACAATCAACATTGAAAGTTACATAGAGGAAAATGTCGGGAGACACCAAAATCTACAGTAAACTGGGAAATTTACTTAAAAGGTCAGCATATATATATATATATATATATATATATATATATATAGCATTTTTCTATCCAATCTTTGTAAGATATTGGCTACTAATAAGATTCAATCAGCTCCTACATCTGAACTAACAAGAGAATGGTTGATCAATTTTTTTTTCCTTTCACCTTCATAATATATTTCCTAAAAATGTCATCCATAAATAAAATTTTCTTGAGAGAAACACTAATCAGTGAATATCAAAAATAGTATCATTTCATGAAGCAGACCGGGTTTTCTCCAATCACAATGAAAAGTTGTATTCTCAATATGACTCCATGTTTTGAACAATAACAGACATTAAGTGGAACTCATATCCATGATCCATTGCTAAAAGATGCTAGAAAAAATTGTTGGTTTATTCTGAACCTCTGTCATATTTTATTTATTTATTTTTTTTTTTACAAGAGTCAGGTATTGCTGAGCTGGTGATGTTTTTTCAGCATTGTTGAGGATGACCTTTTTCTACTGGGCAACCTCTTTCAAACAGATGCAAGCCTCTTTCTCCTCCATTGCTATCCCCCACCCCCATTACAAATATCCAGATGAACTAGTTCCACCAATTCAGACATTTACAGCTAGGGAATGTCATGCCATGGAGTTGCATCACCATTTCTTCTGTATTCCAAATGCAAGAAATTCCACTTAACATTTTTCTAACTGTTACTTTGTGGAACAGACTCCCGAGAGGATGCTTCCCTAAACATGACAATCTTAACCTCTACAAGTGTTAATTGTTAGCTCTTCACCTTACCCTCACAATCTTCAGTTCCTACCAGCTACTCTTTCATTCACATCACCCACACCTCATTCAACATAACCATTTTAATAGTAACCCTCTATCATGAGTGGCTATCCAGCCTTTTATTGAGTGAACTTTCAATAAGTACGTCTATCACCCACCTCACATTTCTCCCCAGTATTTTGAACAGGATTAGAGGTCTATCCCTTTTTCTATAAGGATTGGGTTTCCGGTTCCTTCTAAAGTCTATTTTAACTCTATACTTCTAACATCTCTGCTAGAACTTTGAAATTTTATTTACTAATTATTTTTCTTCTCAATAGGAGCAGATAGGTTTGCCTATCATTTGGTTCACACTCCTCCCTGGCCTTTTGAACAAGAGTAGAGGTTTATCCCTTATGTTTAGAATTGGATTTCCAGTTCCCTCTAAAGTCTTTTCATTCTCTTTCACTTCCAGTAACCCCTTGCATCTTAGTGGCATTATCACCTTGCTTGGAGGTGAATCAATTTAAAAAAAAAAAAAAAAAAAAAAAAAAAACAGCAAATTAAGCACAAAGATAAATCATGGAGCATTTTCTTTTCCAAGATAATCCCAATTGAATCCAAAATCTGACATTTACAATTTTCAAGGGAACTCATTCTAAAGTGAAGGAAAGGGAACTCTACAATAGCCACAAAATATGATGGTCATGACCATTCCTTGGGATCCTGGAGGACCCATTACCATTTTCTTTTGCAGAAACAAATTCTCAATTGTTCTTTGATTAGTTCATATGAGATAAGCTAAACAGTTCATATCTTTCATCTTCAAAACATTTTTTTTCATAATTAAAAACAGGACTTCAGCTTTGTTTTTTTTAATTAGATGAGCCATTTTCAAATAAATTTACTTTAAGTTTCTTATTAACAACACAATGACAGTGGATCACTGATTTGCATTACCCATGGCTCACTATTGAGAAAACACAACCAGTTAATACATAAAAATTAACAAGCAATTTACAAAAATATATTCAGTTTGGGTCATAAAAAAGGACTTGCGTATGTTTTCTTGCCTGTGTACGTATATTTTAATTCAATGACAGGATTAAAATATATTGACAAAATTAAAAAAAAAAACTTTAAAGAATAATTATATTACTGAATAATTTCTGAAAAATTCCATAAAATCTCATTTGATTTTTTTTTAGGGTTTAAAAAAATTTTTTTTTCTTTTCTCTCTTGTCTCCAAACATGATTTTATTTTTCAATGCAAGGTAGGACGTGTTCAGACTGAGTGAGAGAAGAAGTCAAAGTGTGTGTTGTACATTAAATGGCAGTCACATTTAAGTCACTTGCACACAAACATATGCACATACATAAGTGCATGCCAAGTTACATGTAAACAATGGACAGCAAATCAGTTCTTTTATAATTTAGATTAAGAGTTGGAAATCAGTTAAAGAAAACATTTTATAAGACAAAAAATAAAATAAAAATAAATGCAAAAAAAAAAAAAAAGTATATTATGCGGATGTTTTTTCCTATTAAATTATCAATTTTCTGAGGTGTCTAAATTTCAAGTAGACATCACATAACATTCAACCATTTTTAGCATTCTTACCAAGTGCATTTTTTTTTTTTTTAAGTTTTTGCTACATACTGTGATTTTGGGCAGGTGATCTTAAAAACACATCACCGCACAAATAAAGGGAAATGACTATAGTTAAAATGAATGAAAATACTTTAATTTTGGCCAAGAGAATATTCAGCTATGATTAATTCAACATGTAAAATACTTTTTCCTGAAATATCAAGACATGTAAACTACATATCAAATTCTTGTATTCTCTGCATCTAGAGAAAAAAGTCAAACATATTTGAACAAAGGCTATTTCCGAGTAAAATGACTTGCAGTTGATCACACAGCTTGTGTGATCAAATGGAATTGTATGTTCATCCTTCATTACTACTAACCCTTACAAAGGCAATTTCCAGCAAAGAACTTGCGATCTCCAATAATTAGCTAATTAACAACTATTCCAAATACTAGAAATCTATTATTTCTTATTGATTCAAGAGCAGAGAAAATTTTCCTGCAAAAATGTCAGAAAGTGATTGCAACTTTCACAAAAATACTCATCAATGAAGCATAAAAATATCTGAGGAAAAAATAACAAATAATGAAACTCAAAGAAGCCATAATTTTGTTAATATAAAGTTTTATTCCATGATTTTTTTTTCTATCTCAACTTTCACGTCTATATTTCCTGGGACATGAAGAAAATATCTACATTAACATGGTAAAAATTTAAGTTGTCAAAACCTATAGTGCTGATTCTTTGGTTGTTTTAGGAGGCTCAAACATAATTTTGAAATATATATTGGATTAGAACAAAAGTATGTAGCGTTTTTTTTCAATAGGTGGCATTTGAAAATATAATCTTGTTTTACATGTAACTGAAATTTATGACATATAGACATTCTGAAAAGTGACATTTCAATGTATGTTGACTGTGTGGACAGTGAATTTTAAATGTTTGTTTTTTTTTTGTTTTATATCAAAGTGAAAATGGAAGAGAAAAAAAATTATTAAAAAGGGGAAAAAAATACTGTACAAACAGCAAGAAAAAGTTATGTACCATTTATGGAGATAGTACCATAGCTGACAGTATTGTCCATAAGTGGTTCACTGGGTTCAGAAAGGGAAATTTTGATCTGGGAGACTGAGAATATTTTGGTAGCCCTACATTTACTGATAAAGGTTAAATTGAAACACTGATGAAAAATGCAGGTCAAATGATACCAGATAATGCAGAAAAAAGTCTACATATCTCATATAAATGTTTTAAGGGATTTGAAAAATGGACTTGAATATGTAAATTGCTATGACATTTGGGTGCCTCATGATTTAACAGAAAAAAAAATTAAATGGACCCCATATTCCCACTTCCTGTGATTCTCTGATGTAGTTTTGAAAGGAAAATCACAAGCAATAAAAAAGGGATTGTTTACAATAATGTGAAATATAAAAAAGGGTTCTGGGGAAAATGAAAACTTGCCTGCATCCAAAGGAGGTGATTCTGCACATATGTTTGAATTGGAAAGGCATTGTGTATTAGGAGCTCCAACCATGGAATCAGACATATCTCAACAAGAACTGTTCCCAATTGGACTGATTAAAGACAGCAATTGATAAAAGAAGTACCTGGAATTGGCAAAGTAGAATGGCATCACCTGCCAATGCCTCAGGTATCTTTGCAGACCCAGCAGAAATTAGTACAACTTGGTTGTAATGTCTTACTACACTGGCAAGACTTACCTGACTTTGCACCTTCAGAATACCACTTCTCTTAAGGAAAAGAGTACTTCAATTCTCTGAAAAACTAAGCTCAGCTTCTTTGTTTTTCTTTTTAAGTCTATCATCCAAGATCTGGGAGGGTGGTATCATGAAGCTTCCTCAAAGATGGTGAAAGGTAGTGGAGCAAAATATGTGATTGAATAAATCTATGTAGAAATATAAAAATATTGAAGGTAATGCTGCATATCTGGCTAGGATTGGAAAGATATTGTACCTTACGAGTTCCTTCATCTATCGGCCTGTGTATTTGAGTCTTAAAGATAAATTTGTCCTACACATTAAAAATCTTGAATGAACAAACTGGCAGAAGTAATTCACTGTTTAAAAAAAAACAAACAAAAAAAAAAACAAAAGAAAAGCAAAGTCTACCCAAGACATTTATTCACTAAAATACGTTTAACTAGAATTAATGTTGGATTAAATAAATGAATTATATATATATATATATATATATATATATATATATATATATAACTGTCTTACATTATTAGCTATTTCATGTTTTATTGATATATAAAATAAAAGCTTATTTCAACTGTTACAAAAGTTTCATTAAAGAAATAACTTAAATTGTGTGGAAGCCTGTGAAAAGGTATATAGACCATTTCACTATCCAGCAAAGATGCAAGCTTCTGGGAAGATAGATATCATGAAGATGTTTCAAAGATGGTAAAAGATGGTAAAAGATAGAACAAAATGTGTGGTTGAATAATTCTATGAACAAATATCAAAATATTATCTTTGAAATTCACTTAAATGTAAAAAACTTGCTTTGACCCAATATTTGACAATTTCATTCTCTCTTCAGATCATCTGAACTGTGGTAGCTGAGGGATTTCTTTCTTTTTTTCCCCCTATCACCAGTCTATTTCTTTGAAAAAAAAATAATAATAAAAAACAAAAAAACATTAAATGTTTCCTGATCTGTGATATTTTTTATCTAACATAGCATCTACTAATTAAAAAGTGAGTTTAAAATATTAAAATGAGGCTTATGCAACCAGATGCTTTACAAGATTTTTTCTTTTTTTAAATAAATATGGCACTGTAAAAACAAAAAACAAAATAGTGGACACTGCAATATCAAAGAGAAGAAAAAAGTGAATAGATTTTCTATAACTTAAGATGACAAGTGAGAAAAAGAAAAACTTTTAAATAAACTAGAACTATCAGGATTAACATTTTTCTAAAAACAGACAAAGTTGTTTACACTGACAGAATCAAGTAAGTACCACCTTCAGTCAGAGACACAAGTGACAAAGTTGCAAGGCATTTTACTTGGTACATCACCTTGACATACTTGCATGCCAACATTGATGCATAAAAGGGAAAGATTTCTAAGTTTCACAGAGAATTAAATCTTTCTTGAACATATATATATATATATATATATATATATACATAATAAAAGAGTGCCAACATACTCACTTGTCTTATAATATTTCTGACATTTTCTAATGGAATTCCTCGGTAGTTGGATCGAATTATCAGTTTAAGCAGATGATGACCTAAAACTTCAAAAACCATGCATACATCTGAAAAAGTCGAGTCAAGGAAAAATCAAGTGAATATTGAAAGCTACATTTAATCAAAAGTTACAGAAGTTAGGTCATTACGACTTTTCTACAAAAAACAAACCTGCTTCAACATCAAAATCCTGCAGTTATGAGTTTTGATTCATATGACGGTCATCATTTTGTTTTTGGCTAAAATCTTTATCATCCTTCATTAAAAGTTTCTCGGTCAATTACAGAAATTAACAGTATCTATTTAGATGTAAAAACTGAGAAATCTATTCTTTAAAAAAGGTAATTTCACAGATTTCTAAAAGCCCATCCAAAAACTGAACACAGCAACAGTAGAAAGAATTCCCATAAATTGTACAACAAGTTCACATTTACTAAACAAGTATTCTTTAGGTAAAAGAGTTACATCAACCCCAGTCTGTCCAGTTTTGTTGGCTGCTGAAATTACTGAAACACTAACTCTTAATCTAAAATTTTAACCAAGCAAATTTGGAAAATGAATATAAAACTAAACATCATGCAATGTTCTGTAGGAGTTTCGATAAAATATTTTAAAACTTATTTGCAGCACCAAGTAACTAAATCCTCCCAGGAATGTACAAAGAACTTAATATCATTAAAAACATTTCCAGAGAGCTGAAATCAACATAATTGCATATAAACTAAAATTTAGAGAGAGAGTTCTTCTAAGGCTAAAATCACCTCATATTCTTCGAGATAAACAGGATAATGCTGCATGTTAAATATAGTACAACATTCTTAAATGCTTTGCAATAAAATTTGGTTGTTATTATTAATTTTAATAACGATGTTCAATTTTGACAAAATAATTGCAACTCTGCAAACCAATTATGTGTTTGCTCTATAAAAGCAAGGCTAGAGACACTGGCCTATCAGAGCAACTTATTCTGTTTTTGTCAATAAAAGTTTTTTAAAGTCAATAATTATAGAGCTAATGTCAAATAAAACATTCAAATGGGTTTAAATTCTCTGAGACATTAACATAATATGGTAATCTTGAAAGTTGAAAGATACACACAAAGTTTCATTGTACAAGTGCTATGTCCTCAGAAATTATCACCTGCAAGTTGAGAATGTTTTAAAAAAAAAAAAAAATTCTTAATTGTAAATACTTATTATATGCTGTAAGAATGCATGATGAAAGTTTGAATCACACAAGCCAAGACCCCCCCCCAACCAAGTCAGGAGTAATGGATCATTACATGAACCAATATTATGGGAATTTTGAGGCAGGGGAAGGAATCTTGTCCTCAAACTAGGTCTGAACAGGGAAATGGACCCCTTGTCTGTATTCTTATGACATTCTTAGCCAGTCAGTAAATTGGTCATTTAAAGAAAATAAAACTTCAGCTTGTAAAATTGCAAAAAATAACAGGATATTAATAGTAGCATCATGTACAACAGACTGTGGTTGAGTTATTTTTATATTTTCTATTGTAAGGCAGCCAAGAACAAATTCAAAGTTTCTGATTAATATTGTATCACAGATAATTACAATTGTAAAGATAATTAGCAAAAAACTTGTCAAAAGCAATGTTCTTTATAATTTGTCTGACTCAATTGTAAATGCCAATTGCATTCATGTAATTATTAATAAACCAAAACTTGGCTCAGTCACTGTTACCATTGAATACATCACACAGTGTGTGTGTGTGTGTGTGTGTGTGTGAGAGAAAGAGAGAGGCATTTCAGCAGCAATCCCTCTCTAATAAATATTTCATTTAAAAATTCTTGAGAAAGTTATTTTTATTGTTTTTCTTGTGTGTGAACAAGAGATTTCTTTTTTTTTGAACTTAGTGTGTGTAGAAATTACCCAAACAATTGCTCATTTTGAGAGATTTTGGCTAATCTTAACCATTTTTAAGGAATTTGGTTGTACAATATGTAAGGTCAGTTGTCTTGATAAGGAAACAGTTGTATGTCCAATATAATTCATAAATTTGTTTACATTAGGAACAGTTCCTTAGAGAGACTTTGAATTCATAATATTGGTCTTGTATAAGTTGGATATATTTGGCATAGCACAACTCACTTATACTGACCTTATACTGAACTATAGCCCTATAAGGACCCATTCAAACCAACATGAAAAACTTACTGAATTCAATATGCAACATACTTATTTAAAGTACAAATACATATGTCTAATTATCATAAATGTCTAAGAATAATAAAAGCTCCCAACCCCTCAAAAGTGAAATAACATCAAATACAAACACAGCCATAATGTATTGGATGCATTCAGGAGGTAAAAAAATAAATGTCGACTTCCCAACAATTTATACTCTATTTGCAAGAACAATTATAACAAATAATCATATGAACAATTTCTATACACAACAAATCCAATAAAGAAATCTTGTTTTCACACACACATATATATATATATATATATATATATATATATATATATATACACACACACACACACAGACAGAGGGCGTGATGGATAAATTGTCGCTATTTTATATTTTTTCTTATTTTGTTTTTTTTTTTTTTAAATTTTGTCAACTGCACATTATAGTAGGGACAGTTGGGCACCGTCTGTGACAAAAAGTGCACCATGACACAATTCACTCTGCCAGAGATTTGGAAATGGCATGCTGTACTGCTTGGCATTCATGCTGAAACTTCCAATACAAACTTTTCAGTGTTTGTGCATCAATCTGTGGACAGTGCAGAGGATTTGGAAAGAGTTGGATGATCAGGTGTTTAGAGTGATCTCTAGTGATGGTGACATTATACCTCTATTTATTTTCCCCACAGGGCTACAAAGTCAATATAGATGCCTACATCAAGTGACTTGAGGAGATAGTGCTGCCTTGAGTCAAGAGGGTGGCTGCTGGAAGACGCTATGTCTGGCAACAGAGCTCTGCACCATGTCACACAAGTAGAACACTGTCATGGCTGTCAGATAATTTCAGCAACCACATCAGCCCTTATATCTGGCCACCTAACTCCCCAGACTGCAACTCCTTTGATTATTATGTGTGAATGAGAGACCAACAAAACTCATTATAACACCAAAGATGAACTGAAGGTAAGGATTATGGCATCATTCACAAACTTAAACAAGGTGATCATCCACAAGAGTTGCAGGAGATTCTAAAGGCATCTGGAGGCCGTGGTTGAAGCCAATGGCGATTTTATTGAATAAATTTACTCTTTGGTATTTCAAGATATTTTTGTCTAATTTTGGTAAATATATCTGTTAAAATGAGATGTCAGTGTTATTTTCATTTTTGCATAATTTAGATGACCCTACTATACTGCACAGTCAACAAAATCAAAAACAAACAACACACGAGTGAAATTAAAAATATAAAATAGTAACAATTTACCCTGTGTGTGTGTGTGTGTATATATATATATATACACACACACACACACACTGCTGGTATTCAGTAGGGAAACAATTGAATAGACTTTAAATTCAAATGATAATATGCCTGTCCAGCTCTTTGTGCTTTTTTCATTGGTGCAAAATGACCTCATAATATATGTAATTACATTAAGATTTAAACATGACTGAATTAGCAGAAAGTCAAACTGTTTGTAATGAGAAAACATATGCAGCTAATTATTGTGCCATCATTTTTTTTTTTACTTTTTTGTGCCCAAATGTATTCATATTTGTGCTGACCAGAATTTAAAGGGCAAAACCAATTTTTGTTGCTCAGAGTAGACATGTACAAAAGAGGCACAAGTAAAAGGATTGATTTTTACAATGAAAGATCATTTACCTGGAAGGATTATATATAACAAAAAATGCAACATTCTGCATTTCAAAGTAGAAAATCTTTTTCAAAATATTCTAACATGCAATTAACTAACTGAACTCAAGCATAGCTCTCTCTCTCTCTAATCGCAGCCTATTGTATTATACAGAGCTAGAAATCATGGACATTCTTTTTTTCTTAATCTATGTAGAAAGACGCCATGTTTTATTGCAGATTGGTAGCAGGATTTATACCTTGAATATTGATTTTAAAAACATGTAAGCGACATAAGTGTTCCTATGCTTAAAAGTTTAAGCAAATTGTGAAAAAAATAAAAACTCATAAAGAGAGAGACATTTTTTTTTTTTACTGATTGATTTCCCACCCCAGCCACACTGTCTACATATTATTCTTTCTATTTGGTGGGCAGACGGGGGTGAATAACTTATGTGATTTTCTGTAATATTTTAAAAGCCAACTTTCAAACTGAAATAAATGTTTTCTCTCTTGTTTCCTGTTTATTCAAACAAAAACTCTTTCCATTTATACACAAAGTTATAAATTTGTAATTTAGAATTTTGACTCTTAAGACTTCAAGGTATATCATGGTTTTGATCGTGAGCCACAGTTAAAACTTTATCAAACACTTACATATTTTTTTTTATGTGAAAACAAATGTGATTTTTTTTTTTAATCAAATGATGTTGCAACACTATCAAATAGAAATCTAGTCCATTTATTTAATTTTTTTTTTACTTTTTAAAAGTGAATTTGCAATTTTAATGAAATATTTTCTCCACTGCTAACATCTCCATGTTTATCAATGCAAAGAAGAGCAAAATTCCTTCAGACAGTAAAAAGCTTAGGGCTAAAGAATATTTAAATCTGTATTGTGAGGTACTTAGATACTAAAAATGACAGCAGGAGCATTTCATTAAGGAGGTGCTCTCCAACAGGAAGCATTACTCCATTGAGCATACAAAGAGAATGCTACAACTTCAAGATTTTCATGAATTTTCGTTATTTAAAACATTAAGTGCATAAGATTACCAACAGGTAAAGTTTTGATAAAATATGGCAACAGTGGTACAATTATTTACAAAGAATGATAAGGCAAAAAAGACTTATGCAACTAAACTACATTTAAATTCATTTGAGAGAGAGAAATGTCAAAGGTTATTTGATGTAATATACACAAATGGCAACCAATTGATTAAACTGTCAAAAATTGTAGAGACGTGTTTGGTAGTTTTTAAGAGTCCCAAACTGGAACCATAACTTGTGTGATAAAAACATTTCAGACTGTGTGAATCATGTTAATCAAATTGGAACAAGATCCAGATAACAGAGCAGGAGAAAGTTTAAAAAACATCCCTACAATAAACTGACTGTATTCCATTTTGAATATACTAAGTCAGTATTGATTGCTTCACAACCCTGTTCTTACAAGCCAAAATAAACCCAACAAGAAGATATAAAAGCACTCATTTTTCTCTTCTCGCATTAAATCCCAAGGTTTTGTACAACCAAGTTTCTTTATGAAGCACATTTATAGAAATGATGTTTGAAAAAGAAGTGTTTGTTTATTTGGAATTCATCAGAATTTGGTGATAGGAAACATTAGTTATGAGTAGTCACACTGCCTAAGGTGAACACTTCTGTAGCTTATCAAATGACTAAGGAGGGCCTGTGGTGATCACATGCACGCTTACATACAAGAGAGGGAGAGCACAACACAAAGCCATCCTATTTAATAAAGAATTTTTCTTTTAACACACACATAAAACTGGACTTTTTATATTTTTTCAACTTTAACTGAAGAAATAACTAAGTGTCTAAATTCTGCATGTTAAAATCCTAAACTTAAAAAAAAAAAAAAAAAAAAAAAAAAACCTCTGAAAATTATCAATATAGAGAATATTAATAATTGACAGTATTTCATCATAGATAAACTCTGAAAGGCTTGTGGTAATCATTAAACATATCTACAGTAGCAACAATCAAGTTGTATGTAATGCAAGCTACCATCAAAGTTATGCTACACGCTGTTGCTCATCAGTAAAATTTCCTGGAAAACAGGAGGAAAAAGATAAGAGTAGAATAAATATATGCATAAATTGAAAAAAAAAAAAAAATGCACATCACATGATAGAAGAAGAAGGAGTAAATGTCTGATATAGATGCTTATGCATGCTAAGCATATCAAAAGAAACAGAAGAGAGACTTTTTAATCTTCTGTGAAAAAGGATACGCGTTCCATTCACTCCAGTTATTTTAAAATCATCCAGTAACTGTACAGCTTTCTCTCGGTTGCTATCATTCTGATCACTGTCACGTACCTGAAACAGAAAATAATTTTTTTTTTATATATAATAAAAAGAGAGAACAAAACATGAAAAATATGTATATATTCTGAAGGAAACAGGGCATGTAGTAGGTAGATAAGAGTTGACATCCCATGAAGAAAATACTTAATTTTATGTCAACATGACTTTTAAAGTCACAGAGTAGGAGTTTTTCACTATTTGTTCCCATCTTATATAAAAAAAAAGGGAATCCTTTTAAAAGGAAACTAATCTCTGAATCTGGAAACTACATAGTGTTCATGCAAGATGACCTAAGAGGAGGAGTTGTTCTGTTTGGGGGAGATTCAAGTTTAGCCAAGTGGTCATCATGGACAGTGAAAAGAGGACGAGGATTTTCTTACAGATAATGCTAAGAAATATGGCCCGATCTGATAACCAAGAGAGAATCATCCTGCTAGCATGCCTGACAACAGGATGTTTTTAAAGTGAAAGTGAGGATTAATTCTTTCTTTATGATGAAGAAAGTGAAAAGAAATGGGGAATGACTCATTTCTTGTATTTCATTAAGTTGATGACAAAACAGTGGGTGGTCGTTCAACACTTGCTGGAAATAGTTATAAGAAACAAAATGTCATGAAAAGTAAATGCCAGCAAAATGTCAGCAGCCAGATTTTCACACAGGATGGAATCGTAATGTTGAGTTTGCTTGGCATATTAACAAGAAGAACTGATTATGCCGACAATATACAGATTCAAGTTTCTTCTTCTAAATCCATAAACCAATTCACTTCTCAGCACAATTACTTTACAATAACATTTTATTATGTCTGTCAATGTTTTTACAAATTTGGTATTAACCAACTGATGTAATTGCATGAACAATATATTGTATAGATTTCAGCTTTTAACATCTTTATTATAAAGAATATTTGGTGAGGTGTGGGGTCAGGTTTTATTTTTATTTATAAATTAAAATTCAAGAGATATGTCATAGAAACAGGTTTGATCAACACAATATCTCCTATACATAAACAAATTATTTCATATGTAAATATAGAATTCTTAATGTTTGTTAAATTTATTTATTTTTATTGGCAATTCTAAAATTTTTTCTCCCAAATCATTTTTGTGGCATTTTTAAAACCAGTTTTTGTTGCTTCTTATCTTGCCAACATTTTCAATTTCTCTGATCTGTTGAATATTTTTGCAATTTCTAATGTTTTTAAATCAATCAATCTATTTTACAATACCTTTTTTCTCTTCTGTGATTATATCTTTATTATGGTCCATGGCAATGCACTTATATACAATAATTATACTATTATATATATTTATTTACACTATGGTGAACAATTCTTGAATAAATAAATTACCTAAATTTACACAGCATCATATTTAACAAATATATCCTGAAACTTTTACATTTTGAAGATAACTTTCATAATAAAAACCAACAGCAAACATATTGAGCTCTATTGGTTACAACAGAAACACAATTAAAAATATATATATATATATATATATATATATTGAGAGTAAATAAAATGAAATTTTTAAATCAACTGCTGCTAACTGAAGATTTGTTGAGAGTCAAAGAAAAAGTGTTTCTTTTCTTTCTTTTAAATACATTCTTCCCAGTCGTAATGAGTCTATTTTAGTTATATATTATTTCTTAATTTTATTTTTAAGACCAAGAAATTTTATTCTGTAATTACTGCTAGTCATAACAGAAGACCCCCCCCACTACCACTTAACATTTTGATAACTGGAACTAATCAGTTTCCAGCTGCACTCTTATCTTCATTACTGTTAGATGAATAAGAAATTCCCTAGTTTTAGATGAGAATATAGGTAGAGACTTTTTTTTTGCCAATGTCAGATTAAACTGACTAACTTTAAAATTCAAGTGATTTTTTTTTTCTTTGCATAAAAACGAGATGGATAGGAGAGACATAGATTTCTGACTCATTCTGAAGGTTGTTGGTAAAATAAAGAAGGGAGTAACCTAATCTTTTATATAATCCTAACAAGCAATTATTGATGCTGACTCAAAATAAATAAATAAGAGGACAAGCTGAGCAAAATTTATCAAAATGAAACTTAGTAAAAATCTATGAAACACCACATTTGATGAAAAATGTTGCAATGACTAAGTTGCAAGCTTCTTAAATATGTCATGGACTCAACACAACAACAAAAGTCAAATTAAAAACACTTAAAAAAAGTAAAAAAAAATTTTTTTTATTGAATTAATGTTTAGAAAGTTCTTATAAATGATTGATATTTAGAAAATACTCTTCATAAACAGAGGCATCCTAACATCTAGCAAAGAGACCAAGAATAATGTTTATGCCGAACAAGACTTAATTTGGAGGAGGACATATAAAAATCTTCAAATTTTATTTTATTTTATTTTTGTACAAGATTAAAAGAAAAGTTTGAAGTAGACAGGAAACAAGCTGTTATGACAATCTAGCTTCACAGGAGGAAAAGCTACAAGGCAACCCAGTTCTTTAAAGCTGACATGTTTAAAAAAGAAGCCTAAGTGCCAATAACAAATGTTATGTTAGAAAAACATTATAAAAGAGAGAGGATTTAAGACCTCGCCTGAAATTAGGAGAGACCAGCACAGGTAAGTGTGTAAAAGTCAGCTAAACAAAGAGTCATCTCTCAAACACTTTCCTATAATAACACACTTAGATAAATATCAGATTGTTGTTTTTTGAGTAAAGAAAGTTTGCTAGGCTATAATTGCCAAATATTCCAAAGCAAGTAGAGGAGCTAGACAACAGAGAAAACACTATGCATGCCACTATATCTGGTAGAAACATTTTACTTTACAGCTAAAAAGAAGAAGAAAAAACAAAAAAACCTTAACTTGCTGTTGCTGGTCTTTTTACTTTAGAACATTAAACAAAAATACTTTTCCAACATTGAAGCTAAATATTTCAAATATATATATATATATATATATATATAAAATGTTCATTACAGATTTTTGTTTTGGTTATAATCTGTTTAAATTAATTGAAAAAATTTTAGAGTGAATATTAAATATTCAAAATTTTTTTGTTTTCCATGCATATTTAGTTATCATGCATTTGTGTACATTTAATATGAAAAGTATGTTTATTCATTAGTTGTAAATACAATAAATTAAAAATTTGTATGTGTATAAATATCTGTTTCCCCACCACTGTATGTATGTATATATATATATATATACACACACACACACACATTTGGTTGGATAGATGTGAGTTTGTGACCCTGGGTTTCACGCTTTAGCGATCGTCAGACAAATATGTTAGCTCTATCTCTGATATTGAGCGCTTTCTAATAAGTACCGCGCATATAATATATAAATAATTATACATATATATATATATATTTATTTATACTTATATATATATATAATGAAATGGATTAAGTCTGACAATTATATATATATATATATATATATATATATATATATATATATTATATATATATGAAATGAAAAAACTATTTGTCTCAGCAAACAGTAGCAAATCTAAAAATACCTATTGTAAGTGTAAAATATTTAATCAGAAAATATCCAAATATGGACAAAGAAAAATCTAAAAATATCTTTAAAAAAAAAAAAAAAAAAAAAAAGCATAGAGTAGATGTTTGTTATGAAAAAGTTATAGCACATACTTTGTTAAAACTAATTTTTAAGCTCCTTTCATATTTTAATAAATTCAACTTGACACCAAAAGCAAAATAATGTGGGATTAACATATACCTAATGTATTGTAAAAAACAAAATCTATTTTTAAATATCAGATGAGATAATTCTCTTCCAAAGAGTAAATAAATGAAAATTCCATAAAGTCTGTTATTAATCACAGACAATCTTGGCTCACTTCATAAAAACAACTGTAAAAAAAAAAAAAAAAATAAAATAAATTTCATTTTTCATGGATTGGTTTGGACTGATATCATTTGTGTTGCCCCCATCAAACCTACAGCATTTCAGTCATGTACGCAAGAGTCAATGTCTTATGTTTGAAAGTGTCATTGCATCTTGCTGGATACAGTCAAAAAATGTTGAGGAAAAAAAAAAAAAGTCTGAACCAACCTTTTTCAATGTGTAAACATCTTGTTTAACAAAATTCAGGCAAGAAAAAACAATTAAATTCCTATCATTTATTTAAAAAAAAAAAATCATCCTGCTAATGGAATGTGTATCTTTGGAAATATTAGAGAATATTTCACTGGAGCTGAACCAACATGACCAAGCTCTAGACATCTAGTTTATTTGTACTTAAAAAATGGACCAAATTCAAATACAATATCTTTACCATTGCACTAACATTATTCTTATAACTATTTTTAGTATACAACAAGTGATTAGATAATCTTTACCTGTAAAAGGTTTTTAAGTTGACTTATGTGGAGGGGTGCTGAAATGAATAAATTTTATTGTCTACCTTCCAGACAACTGTGGAGAGAGAAAGAAGTTCTTTTAATAGATTCATTCAGTTTTCAAAAACATTCTTTCATCAATATCTGAAAAACTTAGTGTGAAGATAAAAATGAACATTTGAAGAAGGAATCTAATTGTGGAGTGGAGCAATGATAAAAATGCTTTCAGCTCCCTGCAAAAATGATCTACATAATTATAGACATACTCTTCTAAACCTGTCCCCTCCTCTTTTATTCAGATGCCATAAGTACCAATCAATAGAGTCTCAAACACCAAACATAATTGTACCAATCAATAGAAGATCAAACACTGAAAAGCAAAACTTCACAAGAACATTTTTCTCAATACCAAAATACAATTGGAGAAGGGAAAAAAAAAGAAAAAAAGAAAGAGACTATACAAAAAGTATTTAGTCTTCAACACCCATTAGTAGAGCCTCATGTTATTTCTTTACTGTTTAGGGTTTGTTTTGTTTTTTTGTTTTTTTAAAGAACTTTACTCCTTACTGAATAAGCTTAAGTACAATGCATATAAGTTGGCCTAGCTTTGATAGGCCTGTCCAAAAGGAAGATATTTTAAATCA